AGGGAGCCCGATGCGGGACTCGATCCAGGGACTCCAGGATCATGACCTGAGCTGAAGGCAGTCGCTTAACCAACTGAGCCACCCAGGCACCCGAGAGTAGCGTTTTAGGTATAAGAACATAAGGCTATATTGCAGCAGAAATCTAAACTTGAAGCAACTCAGCAGACACCAAATGCCGGTTAATACGCTAGGCCTATAACCATAGCTATATACATATACGTACACATACATACATATATATATACATATAGATAGATGGACAGATATAAATAGGTGTGTATACACACACATACCCACACACACGCAGGCACTGGGGAAGCACAGATGAATAGGATAATAGCTGTCAGCAAGGACAGTCTCTGCTCATGGTCATATAAGGGAGATGGGTATGTAAAACTATAGCATAGTTTGGCATCTGTAGCAATCAAAGAATGTACCAACTGTGGCTAAGTAGCACAGAGAAAGGAGTAGTGAGTTCCAGAATGGGAGTAAATCTTATTTGAGTTTTGAAAGACAAAAGGAAATTTGCCTGAAGAAGGGCTCTTCAGGCAATGGGAACAGCATATAAAAAAATGCATAGAGAAAAAAATGCATGGAGGTATGAAACAGCGTGATGATAGAAAAACCCACATAGAGATGTAGTCATTGTTAGAAATGAGGAATAACTGTCATTATTGTCCTTAATGTCCATTTATATGACCAGATTCTTTTTTTAGTTTTATCCCTGCAGTGAATGATTTGACCTCTGATCTTTTCCGTACCAAATCCAAAAATGAAGAAATCAAGCTTGAATTGGCAAAACTTGAAAAAAACCTAACCTCAACTTTAGTGTTAGAAAAATGTCTACGAGAGTAAGTACCCGAGTTGGAAGTGGTGACAATGTTTATTATAAAGACAGAACATCGTCAGATTTAGTTTTGACAGTAGGTATGATTTAAAACAACACATTAGGAACTGGGGTCCATAAATGGTTTTCTAAGTAAAACATGACTTGGATGTAGATAGGGGTTGGTTGGGTACAGACTTTCACCTTTTACTTCATATAATTTTTACCTTTTTTTTCTTCTTTTACAAAGAGCCTAGGGGTTTTTTTCTTTAAGATTTATTTATTTATTTGAGATTGAGAGAGTGTGAGCGAGGGTGGAACAGAGAGAGAGGGAGAGAGAATCTTAAGTAGACACCCCACTGAGCAGAGAGCCGCATGCAGGGCTCAATCCCTCCACCCTGAGATCATGACCTGAGTGGAAGTGAAAAGTTGGATGCTTAACCAACTGTGACACCCAGGTGCCCCAACAAATAGCCTAGGTTTTATAATTTTGAAAATTTTATGTGAATTGTTTTTTTTTTATTTTGTTTTGTTTTTTTGTGTAGGTTTTTTTTTTTTTGAAGATTTTATTTATTT